GAGGCACAGCAAAGTGCTGCCTCATCGCGCATCTCCTCCATGTATTTGAACGGGACATACGGAAATTCTGCTATTCTTTATTGAAAAAAATTCCTTCAACATCGGATTCGAACGGCAAAAGGGCCTACAACACACACCAGCCGACAAATATTAACGTTTATTATATTTTATGGTTTTCAAGATTGACAGGGGAGGCTCTGCCTCACCTGCCTCCCCTGACCGCACGTCACTGGTGGTTTTAATCCTCTCCGCAGTGAGTATGTGGGTAATTTTTTAGTCCCACCCCAGTAATAATTACAGCCACAACTGCTGTTCTGTGAACTGGCTGCTCCTCCTCTAATTTAAATCCCATCTAGAGGGATATCACTGAATTTTAAAGTGGATCACTGAGGGTATTTTCCATGTGAATAGCTGATACTTTTTTATCAGCTCAGTGTGTAATTTGACTTTTGTGTTATAGCCACCAGAAGAACAAAATACCCCATAAAGGTTAATCAAATGTGCTGTTGTAATGACAAGTACAAGTAGATCCTGCTATTCTCTTTTGACTCCCATCTTTCAGCATATATTTGTTTACATTTAGTCAAATCATCCCCATTTAAAGTAGCTGAATTACTTATTGGCAACTCATGTTTGCAGCGTACTTGTGGACGTACAGGAATCTATCACCAATTTACTTGATAATTTTCTACATAATTTTCAGGAAAGTCTCTTTTTTATGATTCTATGTGGATTTTTGGAGGTTTATTCTGGATGGAGATCAGAGATAACGATGTTTTTGGGAGCTGTAATGCCCACTGAATGATATCAATATGCTTCATATGTTCAGATTTATTATGACTCCAAAAAGGGCTACAGTTTTGACTCTAATTTACCTCTCACACAGTATCTTTTCCTCCCTCCCTCTTTCTTGCTTCTCCTTGTCCTGCTCAATGTGCATGTCTTCTACAGAGCAGATCCTGTCATTTCATAGTGGTTAAACTGCTTTAGGGAACAATGAGTTAAATTGCTCAGAGGGACAGTAAATGTTTTATTCCCCACATCCAACTGTAATGCTCATCCTTTCTGAATGGGGCTTAAGTTTTATATTCCACTTCATCTAATGCTTTTGCACATAGACTTCTCCACATACAGTGACAGAAACAATGAAAGAAATTCTGTACACACTCACTGTCCTGCCACAGATGGCATAGCAATGGTAGTTGTGATTGTGCCTTTGGCTCTCTGATCATAAACTAACTGAAACTTTTAAAACAGCCTGTTTCTATGAGGTTTTAGCTCATTCATATGACACATATGTCCATATTGTATGGTAAGTAATGTTAGCGTAATGAAATGTAAGGACAGCAAACTACTGTTCCTAAATATAACACATTGCCAGTGAAACACAGTCCACGCCAGTGATGCAGTACAGCACAGCTACAGCCAGAAGGCGCTCTTTGTCTGTTTCGGTTTAAATCAGACCTCAGACATACATACACATACCTACACATACACTGTGTTTTCATTCCTTGTGGGGACTTTACATTGACTTACAGTACATTCATTTCCTGTAGACCTATCCTAACCTTAACCATAACCACTACCTGCCTAACCCTAACCCTAGGCAAAATAGGTAATCTAAAATAGACCTAATACTTGTTATTAAACCAACTTAGGTACGGTAAAGCCCAACAAAAAAGTAACCCCCTACCTTAAACCACCCGTTGTCACCACCCGGGCCCTAAACTTAACCATTTTGGACTTAATGCCTAATCCTAACCCTCACACTCAAACCCCCCTTAAGCCCAACCCATATCGGTACCCTGACCCTAACCATTCCATATCTCAGGCCCTAAACATAACCTCAAACCTTAAACTGCATATTTACGTTACCCTGGCCCTAAACTTAACCATCGAAGACTTACTGCTTAATGCTAATTTTAACCCGCTTACCCCAACCCCTCTTAAACCCAACCCATACCCCTACCCTGACCCTAACCGTTCCACATCTCTGGCCCATCCGTGATACCATGGCCCTAACCTTAACCGCTCGGGACTCAATGTCTAAACCATAACCCCTGGCCACCTGGCTCAAAATGTTGACCAATCCAAGGCGATAAGGAGGTTTGGCCCACACTGATTCATTGTCTAATCTAGTCAATCAGTCTCTTCATGGTGCTGAGCCCAACACAACCATCCTGTTTGTGTTTGTGTGTGTATATAAATGAGAGAGACAGTGGTATCCCTGATCTGCTGACAGATGGATACACACTCACACACACACTTTTTTCCAGTGTTTCTTCTTAAATACAAAGAATTGTCCCTAACTTGACACTAACTTTGCGTGTGGCAGCCTGAATTTATCTGGGGATAGTCAGCGAGCAAACATCTCCCCCCTCACTCCCTCAGCCATCCCAATTCCAATCTCACCGTCCAGCTTCAAAGGTGAAGCGGGTGGCATCCCGTCCGTAGCGCCGCAGGGAGCAGAGCGGCCAGGTGACCAGCTTGGTGCGAGGGTTGTGAATGTCCCACAGGTAAATGTTCTCATGGGTGATCTGCATCATACACTCTCCATAAATGTCCAGGTTGGGACAAGGGAGGAGGAAGACATTGAAGCGCTCTGAAGAGACAAGGAATGACAAAAACTATATCAGGGACTTGTTTTCACTATAGCTTGTGTTGCTTCAGTTAAGTGTTAACAAAGAATAAAGGTCCTGTCCACAGATCAACCTTATTTCATTGGCTGTTACTGCAAATCATAATTTCTCATTAGGGGGTTCCTTTATCAGTGACTTGATATGTGAAAAGATGAAATATGTTTTTTGTCCAATCTAAATTAGTATCAGTAGTGATGAACCCATAGAGAACTATCATCCCACTTTGTTGTTCTCCTCAGCCCCTCAGGTCTTTTTTCAGCTCATTGTTTTGGTTTTACTTTTCTATTTTAGCTTAGTCTCTGTGTTTCCAGCAGCAGGAAGCAGCTGTTTTCAGTGTCAAAACTGTAAAACCAAACGAACAGCAGACAGACACTGTTATTGGCAGTTAAAGAGACAGATACAGTGTTTTTCAGGAGCTGGTGAAGATGGATCCAGGACTAAACGAGAATGAATACTAGATTTACCAAGTGAATTCAAACACCAATCTAAATAAATGATTAAATAAATGATTGACTGCTGGATGTGCAAGAGCTATCTGCTGATTTATCAGTTTTTTAAGCTGACAGTACATCCGATTTTGTGAGGCTTGCTACACCAAAAATCAATTGAGGATTTAAGTCTTTTGGAGCAGGACCAAGTGAAATCTCAAGTCACACTGTAAGTACTTAAAGATAACTGTAAGTCTTCATAAAAAAATTGCAAGTCATTTGAAGCCTTGGGTCTCTGATTGCTGACAAGTAAAAAAGGCATTTGATCATTTTACTATTATTATCATAATATTTATCAAGGTAACACCAAACACTTTGAATACCTTGACCTAAAAATGATGCATTTGTAGTGTGGCAATGAAAGACTAAGGTACTGCTGCCTTATTTGTCACTGTTTTATGATTTTAGTGGGTGAAAAATGACATTTTCTATATCAAATCCTCAAGTCAAAGGTTTGGAGACTTTCAAGTCTTCATTTTGTGTCCATTACTGTACTGGATAGCAACATCTGAAAAATCTGTTACAGTGTTTTAATGACAATAAAAAATGCCTGTGTTAGCCTTAAACAGATTCAACACCCATGACCCATGGGAGACTCCATACAATGTTGAACACATAACATAACTGTTAAATTAATCCTCAATTGGTATCAATAGAGATTTTACTGTAGAGTACAGCAGCAGATGCCAATTTAGCTTAGAATATGGACAGAAAACTCCACAAACATGCCATCTTTTAAGAAAGACTGATGATACAAACCCTCTTAAATGCAAAAATGTTATAGAAAACAACCTTAGATTAAAAAAATATAATTTAATCTTTTTAAGCTTGTTATTTTCTAAGTGGGAACACTTAGCTCCTTTTGACCAAGGGAGGCTGTAGCCAGACAGATCTGTCCTCTGCCACCTGCCAGCAACAAGCTTCAGGGGCACCAATAAGGACATGATCCCTTACTGGCTTACCACCCATACCACTATCAGTTGTGCTGGACAGTGCACCAATGTGAGCTGGAAGCCCCAAACCTCAGATCTGCAGTGGTGGTAGCAGAAGCTTAAACAGCTGGAACACTGGAATGGAAACTTGCATTCTGTATGTTTCACTCTGTGTGCTTGTGAACCACCTGTGTGTTCGCACTGCACCCCAGCAGCCAGCAGGTCAGGCTCTCCCATACTGATGTCGTTGAGCCGTGTTCCCAGACACTCAATTGAAAGTGTCTTGAACCAGTCCTCTGCCTCCAGCTCTGTCGAAAGAGGAATACATGAGAACAAAACGGGGTAGACAGGAGGACAACAATACATGAGTGATTATGGTTGCTCTTAATAATCTGCATTATTTATAGACTTTGGAAATAGCTTGAAACAAAAAAAAAATCATCTCAGCAGTATACTGAAACTATTTCTTGGTGAACAACAGCCAAATGGCGACTGTATTTAGTCTCCTAAAGCCAGGTCATCACAGTGAGGCTGCCAGGTTTCTTACATTCATGCCACCACAGATGCCTCTTTTAAAAACCTGTGCTCATCAACTGGCAATATGCAAATATGCTATAGCTAGAGACACTGGGTGAATGGATAAAGTGATGTTCATAAAAACAGTTCTAGCACCCCCCACAATGATAAATTGTGATTTTTACATGCATATTTCCTGTATGTACGCTATTGAGAAAAGCAAGCATTATGCTACTGTATAAGACGGTGCAGCAGTAAGTGCTGTTTGCTCTCAGTCAAAAGATCTGGGGTTCAAATCCATATAGGGACGTTCATGTAGTGAAATTTAGATTCCATTCCTCAGTATGTGGCTATAGACACACAACAGTGTTGATGCATGTCAGGATGCACCAGCTGAACAGGATGCACCCAGAGATGATGAGCAGCCTGTGTTTTGGAATCCAAGTTAAAAATTACACATAACACATGAAAGCAGCTCATGGGCCAAGATAACATAACAAACACCCATGCAGACGTCCTCCATTAATCCTGTTAGGTGATGTCAGTCCGACTGTGTTTATATATATAAATATCATTAGAGACGTCAGTCAGCCAGGTTTCTGCCAGGTCCTGCTTTTTAAAGGGGGAGAGAAGAGCTGGTTTGATTGGACAGAACTAAAGCCAGCAGCTCCACCTGCTCCATGTATTCCTCCCTATAATAATGTATTCTGCCCCCATACAAAATGCGCCTGGTAATGCCTTGCTGCGCATGAAAGTGCTCTGCATCTGTGGTCACATTACAAAACACTGTTGAGCATGCCCACCTTGCGCCTGGAGTTTAAACACTGTGCTCCCTTGCTAGAAAATACAGCCCAAAGTGTTTTATGGAGGAGTGAATCTGAAGGTGAATATATTTGAGTGCATGTGTGTGTGTGTGTGTGTGTCCATGCAATACCTGATTCACAGGTGAAGGTGCGTGAGGTGTCATCTGTAAACACAATGGCCACAGCCTGTCGCTTGGTGTCCCGAGGCAGCCGCGTGACATTCTTGACATTGCTAATTTCTGTCACCTATGCAACAGAATGAGGGTAAAAGAGTTTTTTTCTGTTTCTTTTCAAATTTCAGCACCAAGTAGTCTGTAGGTCAAAGGTTTATTCATTTTCTCTCCAGCTGTCAGATTAGCATACATAAAACAAGATTTTCATCTCAGTCAGTCTGAACAAGCCTTAATAGTTTATCAGAGTTACAAAATATTAGTCTCAGAAGGTCTGACCAGTGTATTGGTTCAGTAACAAGGTGCAAGGTCACAACGTCAAGTCCACTGTGAGGGACTATGTAAAGAATGAAGGTGAAGGAGAAGTGATGATGATGATGAAGAGTGAATGATGACTAAGTTCTGAGAGACTGTGTGAAGAAGGACTGTTAATTCTCACTGAGCTCAGAAGTGACAATCTGTGTTTAATGTGAAGGCTGACTGCTTTCATCCCTATCAGTGAGTGTGAGCGTCTGTCAGCTCTTTATCTTTGGTCACACACACACCCACACTGTATATACTCTTACCTTAGGACAGGCTCTGATGTAGGCAGACTTCTCATCAGGGTATTTCTCCAGACGACGGGGTCCTTTACTGGATGACTTCTTAAAAACCAGCCAACAACGCCGATAGATCTAACACACACACACACACACACACACACACACACACACACACACACACAGGTTAAAAAAGTAGGCTACTTTATTGTTCATTAGTACTCTTAGAACCAGTGAGTTAATCAAAACCAAATCTTATCTAACAATTTCACCAAAACAAGATCATAATCATTAGGCACATGGGGCGGGCATGTCCCCTGGTTATCCAAAATCCTATTTTTGTCCACCACATATTTATGATATGATTATGAGTCACCTTGCATTATTACTGTGTGCTTAGCTTAAGCCTAAATTAACTCGACCTAATTTTCAGCTGCTAGGGGATCTCGTAAGGATCAAAACAGACTCGCACCATGAACTTTAGTGCTCTTTGGCCCTCCCATCATGTCCTGTTTCCTAACTACGACATGAAATACAGATGCATGGTTCTGGCAAATGGTACAAAAGGCAATGGTCAGAGGATCATCTGAACAGTTTCAGCTCAGAGCTCAGAGCAGGGGTGGAACTAATGATCTGGGGGCTGAAGGCAAAGTACTGCACAGTAAAAATACTGTCATAAAAATGTCCTGCATTCAATTTTTTACATTTCAGTATCACATTATAGTCTAGTGATTTGTTCAAAACACTGAGTTTAACATCCATCAGCTGAGTTAGTTGGCTGCTTTTATTTCTCCATCTTAGAAAGCCAAACTAATGAAAATTCTGGTTTTTACTCTTTGTCCCACTCCTTCTGTATAAAAGAACATAGCCTGCATGGTCTGGCAGCCTTGGACTTTAACTGGTGGTTCACTGGTGGTCCTACGTGACTGGCTGTTGGAAATGACTACTTGCAGCTTGAAAAATGCTTCTTATAACCGTCAGGTGGCAAGCAGGATTAATTTACACACCAGCTTTGAACAACACAGGGTAGAGAAGCCAAATAGCTTTTTGAATACAGAGCAACATATGCACGTGAATCCACGTGCTTTTTTTCTCTCCCTTATCTTTCTGTTGTTTACAAGAGCTCAGTTCAGTTTCGAGAGACAATGAGAAGCTCGGGCACAATCTCTGTTGAACAAGTGTGGAATTCTAATACCTTCCCACATCCTCTAAAAAGACATCTGCGCACCTTAGGCCATAGATTCTGCCTTTTGAATTGATACAGGAGAGGTTACCTAAGCAAACTCACACCCTTGCTCACATTTACACCTGGACACTGATTCATAAAAATATCTCTCTCTTTTGTTATCACAATTATGACGGTCAGCTGCTGCTCTTATCCACAAGTATCTGCAGTAACCAAGCAGATGGCAATTCAGAGACTTGCTGATGACAATTTGATCACTGATGGACTGAATTGGTTAATGTCAGGGTTTGAACATATGGGTCATAATGACAGAACAACTGTGATGAAGGTGCATCCCCTGCTTTGGGTCTATGGGACCTGCATTATTACTGTAAAGAAAAACTAGGGTTCATTAAACCTTGGGTTTTACTTTTGTAGCTCTGGTCATCAGTTCAGTTGTTTATGATAACACTGTATTTATGATCTTTACGATTACGAATGTGGCTTCAGGTTGTTTCACAGATTAACAGCTGTGATGTTGAAATGCTTACATTTACGTCACCTTAGACCCTACTCTGCTTCTACTTCAGGTAGTTGGTTCAGTTGCTTTCAGCTCTGGGTTTTATGTGAAATCAGAGAGAGCAGTTGTGAAAACAAGAGCAACACAGTGTGACTTTATACGGTAAAGACCACATTACATCACAGCTCTTTCCTCTGGCTGTAGTGCATTCCAGTCCACAAAGCAGGGGTGTCTACAGGACAGCAAAACAAGCTCAGTGGCTCAGAGATGAAATGCAATCCTTTAAAATTTGCTCATATGAAAGCAAGAAATTTCAAGTTATTCATATAGGAAAACTCTGCAAAGCTGTGCTTCACATGATGCTAAGCTATCAGTCTTAAGGATGGAGTTATATTAAGCTTAAAAGGATGAAAAAAGCTAAATGTGTTTTTTCAACACAGAAGCTGGAAGATGGAATTTTCAGAACATAAGTTTCAATTAATAAGACGTGACATGTCTTGATATATAATTTGCCACCTCTGTGGGACAACGGTTACTTGCCCTGCAGCATTTGGAAGCATGGAGGGGTATTTAAGAAATATAAAGAAATAAAACTGTATTTTATTTCATCCATACACACCCCTTCTTTCTCCTTAAAATCTTCTCCTAATCTGAAATTACCTTATTTTTTTTCTCAGTGCTCTGACAGTCAAAGTTCAAGTTAGTCTAGTCTGAGAACGCAGTTTAAAAAATACTGTATGGACTGGTGAGCTGAGCTGAAGGAGAAATGTGAAAAAAAAAGAAAAAATAAAGCAGCCGGCCATTATCCAAAATGTCTGCAGTCTCCTGCTGATGCAGCACTGACACCACATGTTGCTGTTACAACATCATTTTCTTGCACTTTCATTTTAGCAGACCTCTCTGGAATTACAGAAACCCCAAACTGCTTTACTTCAGTTTCTTCTTTAAAGCTGTGAGGCGAGTAATTAGCACTTTCTATCTTCCCTCTCCTTCACGTCCTCCTTGTCTTTAACTTCACTTAGCACTCTTCACAGCTAGTTTGTCTGCTGAGGCCTGATTGCATCAAACAGGATGATGGAAACAGAAAGGAAGGGTGAAGAGGAGGAGGGAGCTTGATAATGGGGAGGATGGGCTAAAGGAGTGGACATGGTGGAAAACAAACTATGGTGGCAGCAGGAGCTGATCATTGTAAAGAAAAAACCAGATAAATACAATCAGTTTTTACACATGCTTTTCCCCCTTAAAACTTCCTGTTTACTATACCTAAGAACACAAGACATTAAAGCACATGACTTACAAATCATACACAGTAGTTTTTTTCAAATTACACCAAGCTGTGAGTGAATGAGATGTTTTGAAACACACGTGGGTGTTCAGGCATCCACACACTTTTGGACATACAGTCTAAAGATGTGCTCAGAAACAACAAAGAACATAATTTGTCATGCTCTATTGGCACCTTATTTGACTGCTAAAGTGTTTTGCAGATTTTTCACCATAGGCGAGTGATTTACCAACTGTACCAATATTACAGCAGCTGTAGCTACAAAGTACAATATGCATCATGTGTGTGGCATGTCTGTGTGTGTTTATGTGAAAACATCCTGTAACACATCTCAGAACTTAAGAAGAATCCAGCTGCTTCTTTTCTTTTTATTCTTTAGATTTATCACATCTCCATAATATCATCAATTGCAGTCATAATGCCTTGGAATAAGCCAAAGTTGAAACATGTTCAACTCATGTAGACATGATCTTGCCTATATTTACACTTTCATTGGGAAATTTCCCTTTGCATCATTGCCATGATGGTGGCACTGCCTGTAACATTTTCCTTGTGTTCTATTTGAAAAACAACACTTATATTGACATATACTGTATTGGACTTTTACTGTCAATCTCAAGATGGCAGGTCTTAAACAATATGAGCGTGGCAGAAGGCGGACATCAGAGAGAGAGCGAGATTAGAGGAGAGCAGTGTGCTGATGCAAACTGGACTCCTTTTATGGAGACGATGGACAATGACGGACCCTCAAGTATGTTTGTTAAGTTTGTGTCTGTGTCTGTTTAAACCGAAAGACTTATTGTCTGTTTCCATAGCATGTACACTACACATGCTCTGAAACAGAGGCACTGGTACAGGACATACACTCACATAAAAAATACCAAAAAAATAAACTGTAGGTGTGTTCTTATTTAATTAAACTGTACGTGTGTTCTTATTTACATCATAGTGTGTTATGTTGTGTGGCTTTTCAAACAGCTGCCCAGTATCTTCACAACAGCTATGTGGCCCACAGAGATATTACAAGTGAAAACCTGGTGCTGGACACACACTACAACCTCAAAGTAAGTGACTTTGGCTCACTCACACAGATGGAACGTGAAACCCACTGAATCACCTCAGTTTTTGCAGCACTTGAGATTTTGAAAAGTTTTCCATATAACCCCCAAAAATCTGACATGTGGAGTATGGCTGTTGTGCTGCATATAATGCAATTTGTTTCCTCTCCACTGTCACCAAGTGCTTTTGCAAGGAGGATTTGTTGGATTTTTCCCTATAATACTGTATGGCCTAGACCTTTTATGTAAAGTGCCCTGAGATGATTTTTGTTGTGATTTGGCACTACTGTACACCTAAAACAAAAGCATGAGCTGACCTGACTGATGATAAACCATAGATCAAATCAAATCAAATGTATTTAAAAACAACATCCAGTTGACCAAAGTACTTTACATGACAGAATAAAACGACAATAAATAACTAAAATAGAATGAATAAGATCAGTGCAAAAAATAAAACAGCACAGACACACAGATGACATACGTTCATTAAATTAAAATTAAAAGGAATTAAAAGGAAGCATCAGGCCCTACTGTATATTAAAAGCCAAGGCAAATAAATATGTTTTAAGCAATAATTTAAACGTACTGAGGTCAGTAGCTGATCTAACATTAAAAGGTAGACTATTCCACAATTTAGGGGCTGCAACAGTAAGAGCACGGTCACCCCAGCGTTTATATCTGGTCTCTTGGAACCTCTAAAAGAAACTGGCTTGACGATCTGAGGGACCTTGTAGGTTTGTGCCAGTGCACTAGTTCAGTGAGGTAAGATGGTGCCAAACCATTAAGAGCCTTAAAAACAAAAAATTAACAGTTTAAAATCAATTCTAAAAGGGACTGGAAGCCAGTGGAGAGAAGCCAGTACCGGGGTTATATGCTCGAATTTCCTAGTACTTGTCAAAAGATGAGCAGCAGCATTTTGCACCACCATAGCTGTAACAAGGAAATACAACTGAACACACCATCAAGGAGCTGATCAAAGTATAATTGAAAACAAAAACTCAAACCTGGTACTTGAGAAGTAAACAGAAGTACAATAGACAGCACTCAGAGAGTAACCTCTGTCAAGGGGCAACTCATTTCCCCCACCATGCCATAAAAGCAATA